AACGCACACCTAAAAAAAAAAAAAAAAAAAAAAGAGAGAGAGATACAGAACTGCTTCACGGCCATTTCTGTACCTCACATAAATTTAGTGGAAGTGAGTTTGTAACACTGTTTAAACTTTGAGACATTGTTTATTTACAAAAATAACAACAACATAGTAGCAGCATTTGACATTTCTTTACTTGTACCATTTCATAGTTGCTTAATTAATGCAAAAATATACTCTACCAACATGGAATGAGTTTGCTTATACATCTATTAAACTTAGAAGACCTACTTTATTACCAGAAATATCAAATTTAGAGAAGGGAGACAGTATTTTTGCTGCTTTGGTTCCCCGGGTATATCTGAACTCAGACTGAGATAGGGGCTGTGTACGACAAATCAATCACAGCTCCTGCACCAGTGGGAAAAATACCAGAAAGGATCTACTGACAGACTACACGAGCTGTGCATGTCAAATTACTCTCTTGATGTTTCCAGAGCAGATCACTCATTCCTTTGATTAAAATATGATGAAAATTATCTATTTATGAAGTAGCGATTTCTGAGTGGCCCATCATTTACTCATCAGTGCAGCAGTAGCTCTACATCTTTGCACTAAGGAAGGTTTTACTCAGTAGAGCAGCAACTACTTCTTCTAAGAAAGCTACTTAACTGGCAGCCTCACTGAAGACACCAAGGACTGATTGAAAGGAAGATGAAATGATTCTTTTACCATTGCTGGCAACAGCCTTTCAGGTAAAAAAAGACACATGTAGCCCTTTCAAGGGGAGAAGAACAATTTCATTAACAAGGTTATTATGGAACATGTTTTATACACCAAAAATCTCTAGTCTTGTGTCAAATCTGGCACTAGATCAATGTAAAAAATGTATTGAATTTTAAAAAGCATCAGCTGAAATTTTCAGGAATACATAAACAGCTGAAAACTTACTTTTGCTGACTGTATTCTGCTGTGTTAAGCTCAACAATCATAAAACTGTCACGACAAAATTTTTTTCCCCTCTTGGATAATAATCCAGAATAATTTCAGAAAATATTGTAAAAACTGAAGTTCATAGATAGCTTCTTAACTGTAGTATTTACTTACACAATACGGAATCAAAGTGTTAGACCTATTTTCCTCAAAACTACGGGGAAAATAGCTGCCTCCTCATACCATCAGACAAGTTTATTGAGCTGTTTTATATTGAAAATAATACCGAAGAAACACTGAAACTAATGCACTCGGATCCTGCAACAGAACTTACCTACAATGAAGCATTCTTGAATTTGAAATAAACACTGCATGCAAAGACATTTAAAAGTTTAGAAGAAAACACAATTGAAAGTGTATCTTATATATAGAAAAAAAAAGTCCTTTTCATACAGTGCGTTTTATTTTCAATATTACTTTAATTACACTTTTCAACATATAAAAATAAACCTAAGGTACAGGCTGAAAACATTTTTTCTGTTTACGTATTAGCAAACAACTAAGTCTTAGATTCTCTTCAGGTAATAGCACTAATGATATCTCATATTTCAATTGTGCACACTCCAGTCTCTGGTGAGAAAACTACATCTTTCTGCACTAAGCGCCTACTCATTATTTTAGGCATTTACAGATCTCAACATTTGTATCACTAAATCCAATTCTTACTTTTAAAATTATGATAACACCAAAGGCAGTAACTGATTGCTAGAAAACTGAAACTACCACCAAGTGGCAGGTGGGACACATCATATGCTCCAGTTTGCAAGTCTTTGTTCAGATTTCACATCTTTTAAGATTATTTGTTTTACTGTTATAATGCCATTTTCACACTAACACGTATAAAATTCAAGATCACTTTTGCCTGATTTTTTTTTTTTTCCTCTAAGTGAATGGTTGGCAAAATTAAAATATATGAACTCTAACCTTCTTTCACAAATTAACAAAAAGACACCGATGCAGGGATGTTTCAGACTGAAAAGCAGAGGTTACACACACAACACTATGGCATTACCACTTGAAATGGTCAGACACAAATGAAAAAAATAACACTAATACGGACAGGTATGAAGTACACAATAGTTTGTATCATACAAAGCAGCCTTTACTTATTATCTCTTCCTTAGACCAAAAGAAAATTACAGAAAACCCTAAACCTAGTAACTCTTACAAGATACCAGTACAAGCCAAGGGCAGCACAGAGGAGCCACTATGTACCAGATTTGCAGGGGTTCAAAGTAATTTCAGATGCTGCCTTGGCTGTAGCTGGACCAAAGGACCCCAGCAAGCAAGGCAAAGCACGCCGCAGACTAGGGAAGTCACCTTCTTTGCAGCAGAGACAACACACTCAGGTGCCCACAGCTCATTTCAGAACCCAAGCTGCACATACGCTGCTGCTGTCAGCCCGCTAATGTAAAGCTTGCTCAGATGGATCTGTATGAAATCGCCACCAAAAAAATTAGCAGGTGACTAATGAGTAGGCAGAACCCAGGTCTCGCTGATTTTTCAGACGTGCTTCAGATGCTTCTAGTTTCCAGCTGAAGTGCTTTTTGCCCCACTTAGTTCTAATTTTGAAATACGAAAAACAGTATTCTTTACACACCATACAACCGTCAGTGTTTGCAAACAAAATTTCATCCCTCACACCTATGTAAACCTACGGAAGGCCAACTCTATCCTGTTGTTGTCTCCTGCTACCTTCTTCTTTCAAAATCCAAAGAAAAAGCCTATCTTTACCCAGAAACACTGTTGCGAAATAACTGCGGTCACTAATGGAAGCTCAAGCACGTATGTGTTTTACATGGTCCTGGCAAAATAGCACCCTATGGCCGCTTCTCTGAGCAATTACAAGTCACAACATTTTCAAATAAAGGCTGACTCAAATGAAATTGCATTTAAAACAGTACAGCTATCATGAACTACACCGTTCTCAAAACACTCACTCCATTTAATGTTGTTTATAAAGTGCAAACCCAAACAATCTGACACGGCAGCTCAGCATGCAAACTTGAGAAGGAGAAGGCAATGGAAGATGGACACATTCCATGGATGATGCACACAATCCCCTTGGAGCAAGCAGGAACTTCACTACTGCGCTACGCTACCCGCTTAAAAGTGAGCCACGCTCTGCAGAGACAGGCATTTTACAAATAACAGCTCTCTCTAGTAGCTTTTTAGGAAGAGGGGAACTGTAAAACACCTAATACAAATAGACAGAACTTAACTACCTCACAGATCTGCAGAGTATTTACAAAGCAAACCCAGAAAATACAGCATTTGTAAGAAAATATGACCTGGTGTGGGGAGGAAACGTGTTTGGCGGTTGGTTGGTTTGGGGTCTTTTTTGCCTTTTTTTAAAAAAAGCATTTTGTAAGGGAACCATTAATTCACATACAATGCAACAATGTGGTGCATATGGACTTACACATGTGATAAATTAGTAAGGCTGCCAATCTGTAACTACTAATTTCCAAAGGCATGTTTCTTAGCTAACTGCACACAATCCTTTACATATTCTGTAACTGATATATACCAGAGCTATGCAATTTCAGGGTAACAAAACTCAGCTGAAACATGATACACTGCAAGAATTCTAATTCCTCCCCAAGGAGAAACTTAGTTTTTCAAAGATATTATAAATAATACATGTATATTTTCACTGGTATCCCCATTTCAAATCAAAGAAGCTGCCTGAATAAGACCAATCAACTAAAAATATTCCTTCAATAAGTATGTACCAGCAGAAACTTCCCTCTAAAATACTTAATTTTATTAGTGAAATGGTACCAAAGATAACAAGTATACAAACAATCTCTTTGCTCTATGCTACTTACACATCATAAATAAGACAGCTGTTGTTGCAAGACACAATCCTTCACAGTCTTCCTGTAAGCATACAGATTTGTCATTCTTTTATCAGAATAAGCTGTTTACCAGCCAATAGCATGTGGCTTAAACATCACAAAAATGACTGTCTATACTTTACATGGTAAAGCATTTTCCATAGTTTTAAATGTACACAGTGGCAAGAACATTAAAACCTATTGAAAATGAAGAGTGATCAAGTAGCTTCACGATCAAACTGGGTTTCATTACCTTAGGAATTGGGCAAATTTTTCACTCCTTGTAACATGCTTTATCTTTTTTTGAAGAATTAACTATGCAAAGGAAAAGAAAAACAAAATGAAAGCAAACAGCAAATATCCTATTCTTTTTTTTTTAACTGAAAGAAATAACTCTTCCCATGAGGTAAGGCAATTAAGTCATTTGATTGTATTAAGTTGTATTAAAAATAATCTCCTCAATTTCAGGTATAATTAAGTTTTAAAGGTATGACTCTTAAGAAATCCTATGTAACCAATTAAATTAGTTCAGAGAACACAAGCCGTGTTTTACCTTGACAAAAATATTTGCTTTGTCATTCTCTTCTTACATGCTTTCTCCCCAAAGAACGAAAAAAGAACCCCATATAACTACAGTGTAAATTAGAACTTTTTTCCCAAAATTATTTATCCCCACTTCTTTGCATACAATTCCTGTGACATCACCCAACAGCTATCAGAGAAGATGATGGAGAGGTAACAATTAAGGCCATCCAAATGTAGGTTGTCTTTGATGCAGGTGATCAGAAAATGCTTTGTATTCAGCTACTACTTTTGTACAGTGGTGGTCCCCAAATTGCATCTTTGCTTTCATCTATAAATCTCTTCTAATAACAAAAAATAAAAGTAAAAATGGAGCTTTAGTATTTTAACAAGTGAATCAAACAACCGTTCTGGCAAGTCACTTGCATTCTTGTCTACAGTATGGTGGTGGCAAAATAGCAAGAGAGATCACGTAAGATTTAGCCAAAAACAAGTAATAGCACATACCCTTCTAGAAAATACCACATTTTAAGAAGGCACTAAAGCTTCTGCTTGTGCTCCCATATTTTTTAAACAAATAAAAAATATTTCTTTTCATAATGGCACCTGTACTATTTGCAGCTGAACAGACACACTGCAGTACAGCTCAAAACACAGCTGTAATTTCTGATAATATGATAAAGATGTGCTCACTTCTGGAAGGACAAAAGAAAACAAAATAACAAAACAGTCCCAAAATAACCCAGCAAGCTAACCTATTATCTATAAAATGGCAATGCTCCTCTTAGGAACAGAAAAGTAGCATGCATTGTTCAAATACTTTAAAAGAAATATTAATTTTAAAGATATTAGTAAGAAATTATTTTAAATAATAAACCCCAAGAATCTCAAGCAGTGAGCAAATGAAAAACATACTAGTCAGGGGGTATTTAACATATTAACCGTAAAACTACATTTACGTTTAAAAACCCTTTCCCTACAGTTGTCATTTACAACAAAAGAAAAGTGTGTATAATTATGCACCATTTCCAAGCACATCAAACAGTACACATTTAAGTTTTTGTGGATTTTTTAACCTACAAGGTAAAACAAAAAAAAAATTAATCAACAAGGAGTTATTTTAAACAACCTTCAATGCACATCTTCAGGTTTTTTTGGGTAGTACAGGTTTACACCTTTCAGTTTCTACTTATTTGTAACAGCTTATGGCAGAACTTAACATAAATCATTTTACAAGTAAGTACAGCCATCATGGAAATGCATGGATTTTCAGAGATGAATAGTTTTGATGGCATCTGCCTTTTCATGATATACCTACTGGTCCGTGCTCTCTTGCTTTACAGCAAGAAGACAACAAAGCTATCACAAGAATTGGAAGAGCTACTAGTACTATCAACACGTTCAGGTTGATTGCTTTGACATTTTCTTCCTCATTCTGGGGAATAAAAAGCTTTGGATTGCGTTTCCTAGTTGAATCAGAGGTCCATTCTTTGCTTTAAACCTCTTCCATTTTAATTGAGAGGTCTTCTTCATTTGGCTGACAGTTCCCATTCTGTTGTAGTTTGACTTCATCTGTCCTTTCTGTATCTCTGTTGTCCACTTCCTTGTCAGTTTCTGAATTCTGATCCTCTTTAGCGTGATCTTTGTCCTACCAAAGATAGAATTACTTTATAAAAAAAATAATCTTAACATTATAGGAAGTGACTTGCAACTATGTGTATTTTTATTGTCTCAATTTTTACATGCCTATCTTATCTCCCAATTTTCAGAATAATAGGTGTCAGCTTCTTTTCTTTTTTTTTTTTAAATTTTCTTTTCAATCAGCTGAAGTTAGGCACTCATAACAACTCATCATCCAAGAAATCATTGCCATAGTGTGATCTGTCTTTATCATCAATATTCAAAAAAAACCAGAACAAGCAGCACCATGGAAACTATGAGTAACAGCTCCAGAAATTAAGATTTCACCATATTTTCTGAATTAAATAGAATTAAACACTCTATTTCACATTTTTTGTCAGGTATCTGATGCATTCTAAGACTTCTTGGATAAGATAATTACTTAAGCACGTGGACAGAGTCACCCAAACCAGCTGTTTTGTAACAGCTGAATAATTCTGAGTACAACAAACTACTCAAAGGCATGCTGCTTTTCAAACTCTACTAACAATTGAACCACTTACACCAACTTAGGTCTCCAACTGCCAAAAGCTAAACCCAAATGGTAATAATTTGGTAAGGAAAACACGAGAAAAAGAAAAGAGGAGGAAAAGAAAGAAAAAGAAGTGAGGGAATTTCAGTAACAGCTCCACTAGCATCACTTCACTCTGCTTATCGCTTGGTCACACAGCTTACCTTCAAAGTAGTGGTGCTTTTGTCAGATTTCTCCCTTCCCTCTTTTTCTTTACTACTTTTTTTCTTGGAGGTGGAGCGTTCTCTTTCTCTTCTTTCGTTATTTGCATCTCTTTCTCTTTTTTTCTCTTTCTTGTTTCTGTTGCACAAAATTTTTACTCAAATCAGAATTTAATCCAACAGCAACAACCTTTAAACCATTTACCTGCAAACTAAACTCTCATCTGTGGGTTTTCAAATAAGACCCTAAAACGTAAAAAAAAATCCCTTCATAAAGACAAGGGGATTTTTTGACTGAAGAGAGCTAAAGAATCCATGTGTTCAGTATGCACAGCATTTGCAAAGAGAAAACCAAATTAATTTGTATACAATGAAGGAATTTTATGGATTTGAAGCAAATTTGCACTGTTGACAGATTTGAAACTCTCCAGTTGAAAGCATACCAAAACGCAAATCTGTTTTAAATCAAAACTGAATCATGCTGATAAACTGAAATAATCTGAGACGATTAGTGCAAGGGCATTTAAATGATGAAAATACTATAGATTCTTCCTCCTTTGATGCTCATTAACTTTTACGTTTAAATCAAACTGACCTTCTCGGAGAAGGAGTTCGTGAAGACTTTCTTTTTGTTGTTTTGGATGTTTTAGGAGATTTGGAGAGACTTCTACTCTTCCTTTTACGTCTTTCTCTACAGGACCAAGAAATTCAAGATCATCAAAGAAGAGAAATAATAAACTTAGGAACCAGATAAAAACAGAAAGCTCTTAAAATGATCTGACAAAACAATTAAGTAAATAACCCTGAATTTAACATTATATATCACCAACAATATATGAACTGTAGAAAGCAAAAAAAAAAAAAAAATGTTCAATGTTCAGTTTGGTAGGAGAAGGAAGGCTGGAAGTGGGGAAAAAAGGCTGTGCCCTTTCAGATTTTAGTTTTTTGTTTATTCTCATGGGCTTGTACTTACACCTGATAACAATGGAAACACACTGAATTCAGTAATCCTGTATTAAGTAAGAGTTTCCTCAGCAAGGAAAAGAAACGGAATGAAGAGCCACAGTTTGGTAGGAGAAGGAAGGCTGGAAGTGGGGAAAAAAGGCTGTGCCCTTTCAGATTTTAGTTTTTTGTTTATTCTCATGGGCTTGTACTTACACCTGATAACAATGGAAACACACTGAATTCAGTAATCCTGTATTAAGTAAGAGTTTCCTCAGCAAGGAAAAGAAACGGAATGAAGAGCCACATTAACACGAAAGATGTAACTAGAGCAATACGAATCTCAAAATATAACATTACACCTGAAAATCACCATAATTTCAGTTCAGGCTGACTGAATTTTAATTCCTGAATACATGAACTAGCATTCTTATTGGTCTAGAAGCAAACAGTGCAAAATAAGCTCAAGTTTTTGTCAAAATCAGAATATCTACTGTTTTCCTAGCAGTAGAGCTCACAGTAGAGCACACAGAAGAGCTCACGGTTATTTTACAACAGCTGTTTACATAGATATATGGAATTTGCTGAAATTGCTGTTATGGAGTCTGATCTTGAATAGAACAAAACATTAAGTAATTGATTGCAAGCGTACTCAGGCACATGTTAAAATAAAGCAAAAACAGCCAGTAAAACTTCATTCAACAAGAACACAGAACCTCTCTCTCTCAAAGTAAGATGATTTTTTCCAATCACCTCTTCACAGGGCAGGAAAAGCGAACAGGAAGAACCACCAATGAAAAACAGGGAAGTTAAAAACTAGTTGAGAAGGCACTTCAAGATATAGCACAAATATTATAGTTAATGCATACCAGCTTTTGCAAGTCACACCATTAGGTGTGGATATTTGTATCTTCAGTATTTAGAAAGGTCAAGAAATCAACAGTTCTTACATAAATTATAAAAGGGTACATTAAGATATGCCTAGTATCACTATCTGGATTGTTATGCTGACAATATCATCTACCATGACCTGAAGCTGTACAGAACAAAATTTTGCAATTATTTTGTTCAGCAAGCCCCGAAGTTTGATTCAATCTTTGGTAAACAAAACATAAAGCGGCCTCAAAAACATGGAGAAAAGAATACAATCACTGATCAGCTGCTTACTAGCTGATGCATCTCATTTTGAACATCTTCACATTTATCATCACTTTCCAAATGAGGCTAACTGGAAAACGATACACTATTCTGACAATGCTCCCACTGGGTCTACACTGACTACATCCCCACTTTATTTTGCTTTCCAGCATACATATCTGTGAGTAACCAAGTGCCTACATTACACTTCAAAGTGTTTTTTCATTCAATTCAATTTTCAGGTTTTGCTTTTCATATTTCAAGTGGAAATGTGTGTCTGACGGTATTTGTTGCCATCTCTATTACATTTGTCTATACAAAGATTTTTGTGCACCTGTTTTTTTAACACTCCTAAGCAATACCAATACAGCAAAATTTAAGAAAAAAAAAGTCTGAATACTTTTATAGTGATCCCATGTCTCTTAATCATACACAGAACTAAATTCGGTACCTGTGTCCTCTGCTAGCCTGTAGATGTCTGTTGGAAAAGGAGCCAGATCCTCCTCTTCCCCTAGTCTGTGTCTCTTTCTTCAGCTAGAAATCACAGATAGCCATCTGATTTCTAGTACCTGAATACTGTCTGTCAGTAAAGTAAGGTCAGTTGCCATCTAGTTCTTAGAAGGTCCTGTATGTCCTATTCCACATTCACCTCTTCATGAAAATAACAACTACTTGTCCAATATATTACACTCATCAGGTAAAGGTTTAGCAGTCCAAACTCCATGCTGCACTGTAAATCCAGGCAGCTGAAATGCCAGTTTGTTGGATAATCCTCTCCAGAAAGGTTTGTAACCATTTCAACTAGACAACATCAATCATCAATGTGAAAAAGGCAGCCCTAAATGCAAGCTAACCAGGACTCTGTAGCCCTACATATTCACAGTTGCTTTTCTGAGAAGAACAGATTACTGAGGTCGGAAGACCCCTCTGGAGACCACCTAGCCCAACATCTCCCTCCCCAACCTTAAAACAGGGTCAACTAGAGCAGGTTACTCAGGGCTACATCCAGTCAGATTTTTAATACCTCCATGTATGGAGACTCCACAATCTCTCATGGTAGCTAGTTCCAATTTGCCCAGAAAAACCACAATTTAAACATCAGAAAAAAAGCCTTTATTTCCTGTATGTCAATACATGTCTATTACCTTTTAGCCTGTCACTGGTCCCCCCTGACAAGTCTGGCTCTGTCTTTTTCACACTCTCACATCAGGTATTCATACACATTGACAAGACACCCCCTCAGCCTTCTCTTTTCCAGGCTAAACAACTCCAGCTCCCTCAGTCTCTCCTTGCATGATGGATGCTCCAAGACCTTTATCAGTTTCACATTCTTTCACTGGACTCACACTGGACTGTCTCTTGTAACAGGGAGCCCTGAACCAGACACAGGATTCCAGATGTGGCCTCACCAGTGCTGAGAAGAGGGAAAGAGTTGCCCTCCTTGACCTGCTCACAATGCTCTATCTAATGCAGCTCTGCATACTGCTGGCCTTCGCCTTCTTGGCTGCAAGGGCCCCTAGGTCTCTTTCTGCCAGCCAGCCCTCCAGCCAGTCAGCCCCCATGCTCTAGTGGTACAACAGGGTTACTTCTGCCTGGGTGCACGACTTGGCCTTTCTCTTTGTTCAATTCCATGAGATGGCTGTCAGCCCATTTTTCCTGTCTGTTGAGGTTTCTCTGAATGTCAGTACACTCCCTTGTTGTACCAGCCTCTCCCTCCAGTTCTGCATTGCCTGCAAACTTGCCAAGGGTGCAGTCTGTCCTGCTGTCTAGGCCATGGATGTCCATGGGAGGGATCCTTTATCAGGGAATGCAGTGATAGGACAAGGGGTAATGGTTTCAAACTGAAAGCAGGGAGATTTAGATTAGATATTAGGAAGAAATTCTTTACAGTGAGGGTGGTGAGACACTGGAACAGGTTGCCCAGAGAAGTTGTGGATGCCCCAACCCTGCAGGTGTTCAAGGCCAGGCTGGATGGGGCTTTGAGCAACCTGCTCTAGTGGGAGGTGTCCCTGCCCATGGCAGGGGGGCTGGAACTTGATCTTTAACTTCCAACTCTAACCATTCTATGATTCTATGTTCAACAGTATTGGCCCCAGTATTGACACTCTAAGGACAATGCTATATCTGAAGAAAGAATTGTAAATCTATATTAAAAAGCGTATTTCTCTCACCCTTCAAAAGAAGACTGTGCTTGTTTAGTAACATCTGTACAAAAAATAACTTAATATCAAAGTAAAGTTTTGTACTATGAGTCCACTAGAAGAGATGCACTGATTTTCACTAGTATTCTCTGCCCAAGTTAGTCTTCCATGGCGTTCTTAAATAGGAAAATTCTTAAAGGGAAGCGTAATTGTGGCAGACAATTGTTTGTTGAGTATGAATTTTTGGTAACATCCAGCTAGCTGCACTTGCTATTTAACATTAGGAACTGGGTCTTCCACTGAGGTTCTTATATAATCTACACATTGTCAAGATCTTCAATTGTTTTGCTACACTTACTTAACACTCCTGAGGCCTACAGACAGAAAATGTTTCATGGACAGAAAAAGTTTTCAAAGCTGGCAGAAGCTACCTCTAGTCTATGTAAGACTTCAACCCATGAAATAATGTTAAAAATGCATTAAAACAGGAAGCTGCATATGCTTAAGGAAGCCACAGTATTTTGCCCACAGACCTCCAAAAACAGCACGGACATTTCATATAAGGTAAGCAGAATGTTCAGAAACTATCATACCCTTTTCTGCCTTCTAAGAACCATGAACTCCTGAATTTTGAGGACTGTTGGAATTTTGCTTTTGTGCAGTGAAATGATTATAATACAGAGAACTTTTCCTAATTCATCCTGCATTTCATTCTCTCAAGGTAACAGCTAAGATTTGGTATCTAAATTAGACACATGGTACTACTGAACTCCCTCATTCCTGAGGTATAAAGAAAGGACTTTTTCCACCAAAGCTTCTGAAGTTAAGTTAGCCACAACGCTTTTAGAATATGCCTGAGTTAGTCCACTTACAGAGCTTATAATCAACCTCACAGCCTCCTTTTGCTGCATACTGAATTTCTCCAGACTTTCTCCCAGCTTATCCTCCTTCAGAGGCAAAAAACAACAGCTACATTAACTTGGATGTTTCCCTCTTTACTACCAGCATTGTTAAGGAATGTTACTTTTTACTTGTACCTGGCCATCTAACCAACCAAACAAGATATCCTTATCTTCCAACTGATATACACTGAGATACATACATTCCGATTGGCTAGCCAGCCAAGTGATGTGCTTGCTTCCTGCTGTTCAGCCATCCAGCTGAAGAGCGGCGAGTACTATCACCCAACTGCTTGTAAGATCTGCAGACCAACACTGCACAGTATGTAAGTAACCAAGGAACTATGTAACAGTGACTCAAACTCTCTTCAGAACAGAGATGATGCGTGATGTTGCTTTATCAGAACTTTCAGATGGCTCCAACACAGAGAAATGGCATAAGAATCATCTACTTACTGTCCTCAAGGACTACACTATATGGTTATGTGAAAGGCAAGCACCAGCAGCCCAACAAGAAACTATGTTGTATCAGGCATCATACAGAGCTCTTTGTAATAGATTTTACTTTATAGGAAAATCTACAAAACAGAAATAATACAAATTTAATTAGTAAGGGACATGGTGATATTGATACATAAAAACTGGGGTGGTGCCTCACTGAACTGACAAGTTACAAAAAGCGTGAAAAAATTCTAAACAAACCTGCTGGAGCTACGAGATCTTCTTGAAGAGCTATAGCTTCTTGGGGGTGTTCTGGATCTCTTCTCTTTCTTCTTTTTATCATCTCTCTCTTTTTCTCTTTCTCGCTCCTTCTCTTTATCCCCATCTTTTTCCTTTTCTTTGTCTCTGTCCTTCTCTTTTTCCCCTCCTTTATCCTTATCTCCCTCCTTGTCCTTAATCTTCTCTCTGTCCTTCTCTCCTTCTTTCTCAGTATCTTCTTTTTCCTTGTTCTGGTCTATCTCTTCCCTGTCTTTTTCCTTCTCCTTATCTTTTTCCTTTTCCCTGTCCTTATCTTTGTCCTTATCCTTGTCCCTGTCCCTATCCTTGTCTTTGTCTCTGACCCTCTCGCGATCTTTATTTCGCTCTTTATCCCTCTCCCTGTCCTTCTCCTTGTCCTTCTCCCTGTTTCTCTCCTTATCTCGTTCTCTCTCCCTGTCTTTGTCTCTGTCTCGGTCTCTCTCCTTCTCCTTGTCTCTGTCTCTCTCCTTCTCCTTTTCTTTGGCCTTTTCTTTTTCCTTGACCTTTTCTTTGTCTCTTTTCTTGTCCCTGTGAAAAGCCAAACACAAATCCATTAATTCATCCTTGAACTTTCCAATTAAAATTACAACTAACTCTTTAGCATACGTTAATTGCTCAAGATAAAGTGTGGGTCTCTACTGAAAACAGTAATTACTCAATATTTTAATTTTTCACCCTTGTTCCCCACGAGGGAAAGGTTATACAGCTAGTAAAAATTTGGAAAACAAACGGAGAAAGGGAGGCCAAAAATCAAATCAAACTGTGATCTTCAGAGCGATGTTATTATACTTCAAGAGAATATATCTGTTCACCTCACAGTCATGTTACTATACATGAATAAATTTTCTACATTTGACAGGAGCGAGACAAACTTTATAATCTGTAAATCCACTCCTTACTAAAAGCATATCCACATAAAATGGATTGCAGATTAACTACCCTGACATGGATAATTAACAGCTGACTGACAGAAGTCTTTACTCTACATATTCTCTCACACAGATATCCTGGAATTGCTTGGAAGTCCAACAACGATTAATAAACAGGAATAAAAAAACAGGGATAAAATTCACCAGATAAATTCCCTCAAAAAGCAAATGTAAGGTCAAAACTCCATCATGACAATCCAATCGTATGTAATGTAATTAGCAATTCAAAAATTATGGAACAGAACAGGATAACATAGAAAGTCAGCTTCTTTGGGACAGGCAGAATGACACAGGTTCATAAAAAGAACAGTGAGGAAAATTCCAACTGATGAACTAGTTGTCAAGCCAAACAAAAACTGATTAGATCACAGCTCTGGCTAGAACATCACATTTTGGTATAGGGTCATCTGGAAGTGTGGGACTCCATCTTTCGTTTCTAGCAGAGAGACACACGAGTCCTAGAACTGCCTCTACGACATATGAAAATGAGCAATTTTTAGAGAGAGAAATGGGAGAAAGCACAAGAGGAGAAGTTAGCTAGCAGACGCAGACCTTTACGTGTCCAAGACAACCAGACTGACAGAAGTTCCTGTCTATTGGCAATGGTACCTATTCTAGGATTTGTGAAGATTCTCAGAGACTCCTTCACATGTGAAAGGCCCTAAGGACAGTCCCCAGCTTTCTTCAATGGAAGAAGTGTTTGGCTGTATTTTCTTCTCAACTGCTAATTAGTAGGCTGTTGTATGCTCTGTGACCTGACAACTTTGGCTCCCATCAGGTTTTGGCAAATAGTTCTTCAGAAGCCTCAGAGAAGGAATGTAAGATCATAAAGATAAAACAGCACACAATCCCTGCAACAGCAAAGAGTCTCACAATGACCCATGACATGCCTTCCAGTTAATTCATCACAGAGATTTCATTAGACCTGTCCCTTCCAGTGAGCAGACATCTCAAGAAGCTCCAGACAATAGCAAGAGAGAATCAAAGGAGTCCATCAGTAAAGCCCAGCTAGCTACATAGCGTGTTCCTGTTTCCACCGAGGTCCACAGATCTGCAGTTCTCTTTCCCAAAAAACTTCTTCCCTCAAAAAACAAGAAGCAACTGCACAACCTAAGTATGAAGCTCCCTTTAAATGAATTATGGGAATTACAGAGATGAAAAAGAAAGAAAAGTACCAAGACTTCTGTTCATGAAGCTACTTTCATAGGCACTTTTGATTTGTGAATATTCACTACATCATCCCTCAGAAAATGTTATTATCTTGTTGGAATTTCACAGCTCAATAATTAGATGATCAAACATAAAAATGAATAGACTAGGTAAAACATAGATGTATTAGATTTTGAAATGCAAATATGCCATATAACAGACACAGGCACTTGCACCCACAGCAGTGTATGGACAACATGAGGTAGCCAAAGGCAAAAATAAAAAATTGTGCACAAAAACTTTATACATGTTCCCAGAATATGGGATCAAGTTCGGCCTGAATCCAATCTTCTCAACAGATACATATTGAACAAGCATTATCCACTTTATTGTGGGTTGCACAGGCTACCCAGAACATTCCTAACCTATTCCTTAAAGTCCAGCAATTAAAGTTACGTATTTTCAATCAGCTTGCATGCTGGTATAAATGTTGGTTAAAGTTTAGGTTCCTCAGTGTGGTAATTTAACCCCCTTGAGCACCATGTGAACTACTATATCCCAGCCACAACCAGTACACTCAGCATTAAAATTTACTTTCTATTCTTTTGTCCCACAGACAAAGCCTGGGGACAGGCTAGAGCATTTGGAGATTCCACCGTTTACTATCACCTAAAAAGTCTGCTAGATTTTTTTTTTCAAAAATTCTATACTGTGTTCTAAGAACAGTATATTTTCGTAGGAACGGAACTTACCGAGAATGAGAGCGACTTCTTGATTTTCGCCTTTCCCTAGATCGAGACCGTTTTTTCAGGGGACTCCTAGATCTGCGTCTGTCCTTGTGTCTTGAGAGCGATCTGTTGCCAGATCTACTTCTATATGAACAATGACAAAAGAAAAATATTTTAATACTGAAACTTCATAAAAATCAGGTCAACCAACAAAGAGAAAAAAACCCATAAAACTTGCTTCATTACATAAAATTATACAGTTACACCTCAGCAATACACTGCCTACCAACACTTTTGCAAATATGTATACTTTATGCTTCACCAGGTGCACATCCCCTCCTTTGAAACAAGGTGCCATTTAAGTAATAATCATGTTTCATAGTAACTTCCCTGAACATCCCAGAAAATATTAATTCCTATCATATTAGGTTAGCTGTCCCTAGTAAATTACAGTGCATAAACCCTATTACAGCCAATTTGTATCAACTTGTAAAAATAATAAGTTACATTTTGGTTTTCTTCAGACCCAGTCACTTATTGCAGCCTTGGTCACTCTAACTGGTCTCTTTTTGCATTGTTCACCAGCCTTAAAATTTAAGTAATCTTTTAAAAACTCAACCAAAAAAAAAACCCCAACACTATCTGTGGCTTAGCATTTAGTCAAGTTGAAAGGATTTGTTAGCATAGATTTCAACTATAAGAAGTCTCAAGAAAAGGAATGAGCATTTACTACATGATAAATAAGGAATGCAAATAAAGTGCAGGTACTCTGATAAAAATCCTATTAAATTCTTCTGGTAAACATATATAGTATAGTTGCAGATTTGATGAGGAAAATAAAACTTTTAAAATTACTATATTTCTTTTCCAATATGCTCTCTTTTTTCGGAAGATCATACTCCCTTGGAAAGCAGAAATAAGAAGCTATATTTGAACTTTAAGTTTCAAAAAACCATTGGATACTTTGCCTGAGAGGTTAAGGTACCATGAAGTTTAACTTACCAAAGACAGAAAGGCCATGTAAATTACTTAGTAAATCCTGAAGAACAGGGAGGTACAAAAGATACCAGCTCCACCTGTCTTCTGCAGCTCAAGACACACAGAGTAACGAGAGGAGAGGCAACCATTTTTTACCTACAGCTTTGCTCTGCTAATCACTGCAGAAATACAGACTAACTACAGGGCAAATTAATTACAAATGAGTCAAAATAAGACCTCGAATAAATCTTCTATTATAGAGATAAAAATTATTCAAGTGTTTCATAAAACAGTGAAATGTGGAAGTGGTAAGGGTAGCTTGTTCTTAGGGATTAAGTTGTTGCAACAGATCAGACTGGCCTTTTTCAGCATGTTCTCAAAACTGAAAATAGTAGTGGTAAATCATGAGAAAAAAATAACTAACCATTAAAAGTTGTTCAAAGCACAGGATTTCCACAAGTGAAAAAAAAGCAAGTTTATCTTTTAAAAATCAATTTGGTTTGTGTCAACACAAAAATACTACTACAAAATACTACTGAGGTTACTGGAGGGTTACACAAAACACAGATTGTTTTCAGTTATGTCCTGAGTTAGAGAAACAGCAGAGAAACAAGCAATAAGGAAATGACAAAATTATTCTTTCTGCATTAAGAAGGTACCTAAGATTTTAATTTCATGTACTGTTGTGTCTTGCTATTGCAAAACTGAAGCCTGTACTTATATTGTATTTGTTTGGTAGTATAATTGGTGATAACTCCTTCTGGCCAGCTTTTCAGTATCTCAAGGAATTCTAGTTGCCTTATTAAAAGATGATGTATAACAATGCAACAGAGCTTTTGCTGCAACACTGACAACACTCACCTTTTAAAAGTGTAAGCTATCAAATAACTTTTGAATTTCTTTTTTTATTTTTTTTGGTGATACATAACATAGCCAAATAACTTTCCATTACGTAAATGTTCTGAAGACGTTCCTGACATTGAAAGAATCTGAACCATTTCAGGAAGAATTTCAAAGACTCACATAGCACGACTGTCTCATTCTTGGACAAAATCTCAATGGGTATACTTTACGGATGACCTAGTAATTTTATTTCCTCCCATATTTCAAAGTCTGTTTCAGAACAAATTTAGCAAAGCAAAAAAATCTGAAGAATGAAAACCTGCCCTTTAAGACTTATTCTTCTGCTTTTAAAAACCCATAGCCTTACATTTACAGTACATTAAATAAAAATACTGCATTTGTTAACCTGATATTTCAAAGTTAGGTCATCAGGACTTTCTACTAGCAAAACCATGTAGTCTGTCTGCTCAGGAAGTTACCAGTAAACTGCATGTTTGATCCACAAAACACAGGTAACTCTTTTTAAAATACAGGTCACAAAATTGTATTATGCTACATGGCACAAAATGTACCATAAAACCATAGAAATAGCTATGCCACATGGCACAAAAGCTGCCTTCCTTAAAACATTTAGCATTTAGAGGGAAAGAATATCCATTCAGAGACAAAGTTCCTGATTACTCTGATCTGCTCAGTGTAAATTAGTCATCTCTACAGGGACACTTGTCTTATGACTCAGTAAGAAATCTCAGTAACCACCACTACTAAAAAATATCCCAGTACAATCTCTTAGTCCAAAATAAAACCCATACCTACCTGTGTTTTGAGTGTGATCTTTTTCTTCTAGATCGGGATTTTGAGCTAGACCTGGATTCTGAACGAGAATGGGAACGGGATCGACCGCCTTTTCTTTCACTGCTCTTTCCAGACTCTGAGAGGAAAAAACCACTTTGCAGTGTAAGCTCAGAACATTTAAAGATCCCAGTTAACAATCTGGCACAAGTGGAATGTACCACATATAGTGCAAGGGGCCTACTCTTTGCATATCTTCCTTCTTTGCAAATAGCCTTCAGAAACATCCAAGAAAGTCATTGCATATACTCGTTGAGTGCAGCCATCCTGCAGCAGTACACATAAACCAGATAATTATAAACAGCTAGCTCTATTAGGAATGGGATTTATGTTGCTGCCACAATGCACAAGATCACAACATGTTCTCCTCCTGGTCTATTATTTAATATAATTACTTTCTTATTTTTTTAAATAACCTGAGAAGAACCAAGTAAATTTAGAGGGCATATATTTGAAAACAAGCAAAAATGTAAATAATAATTAATACTTTCTGTACTTTTAGATATTTAAACCACTGTGCAAATACTGAAGTTTTATTCCTCAGATACTGTTTTGTGGGAGGAAGGGATGAAAAGTTTGATCCAAAGGCCAGGAAGCCAACAGAAATCTTAACAGTGACCTCATCAGAATTTAGTTTAGACTCTAAAAGATTGTTATTTGCTGCTCTAACATTGAGGAAGCATTAGAAATATTTTTCTTCCAACCCTAAAAAACAACAGAATCTCCCTTCCCCCCCCAAGACTCTGCACTACCTAATCTATGTAAGACAATGTCTGGGTTTGTTAGTAAGAAGAATGACAAAATCCCACTGATGAAAAGAAAAAGGAGGCTCTCAACTACAAGTCTGACACATTGAGAATTTTTTTAAACTGATTGCAAAACCACAGCATAAGTTAGGATAAATCAGCACTGCAATGTCTGTCTAACCTCCCAACCCACCAACACCTTTCTCTTTGATGTGGCATTTTCATTGGGAAACCAATTTAGATGGAAAAAAGTCCTTTACAGTATGTAAAGTTTTATCCCTGATTTGTTCTCTGATCCCATTTGCTATGAGCCCAGTCTTGAGCCAGCACGAAAAAGAGCATAGTGCAGGTACAAAATTAAACTGCTTGCTTTCAGAACCATGCTAGTTTCCTCTAATCATGAAACTATGGCAGTAACGGGTGCTAGAGGAGAACAAAATAAAATATAAAACATTTCCTTTTAAAAGTTTGTAAGTACTTTAAAAAGCACCAACATAAAGTAATTGATTTAGTATTAACTCTGCATTTTTGAAAACATTCAGTGAGCATGTATCTGGAAATTAAACATGATGAAATAAAAAGTCAGCTTCATTCCACTGCTTTGTTGCATGAACACAATTTTCATAATTGTCTTTTTTCTCCAACACATATTGTTCACTTTTGAAGTACCATTTTCCTGTGTGTGAAAATGCTCTTTACAGTGTGTGCCAAGGTACTCAGAGAACGTGAGGTAATGAACATCATATACCTACCTGGCTCAATAGCAGCAGATATGAAAGACTGGGCTTCCCTTACTCGCTTCATCACTTCTTCCAGTTCCTTGGCAGCAGCTTGTGGTGTCATTTCAGGAGGCTTCACTATTGCATTATTGGAGTGATTTATTCTAAATAAAGGAAAAATAAAACCTTTAACTCCCAACAACTTGAAAAGGGAAAATGAAAAACAATTAAGAAAGAACAATACCTCAACTTCCATGTGTGACTAAAAACTTTAAAGTTCAGCAAAACTACAGATTTTTCCAAACATTCATCTATTCTAAGTATCTGAAATGTCTTTTATTGCTTTCAAATCTTACCACTTTTAAATAAATGTGGCACAATACTTCGGTGCCAAAATATTTTCTAATCCAAGTGCAGGAACCTGCTTCTCTATTTCAGATCAAATCTCTACACTAAAGCCTACAAACTACATACACATCATACAGAAACCTTAATTAGTACTAAGGACTTTGCAGATTCTTTCACTATTATAGCTCCTACTACCTCAACATTAAATACAAATGTATTTTACTCAATGTCATCCATATTTGTCTCAGAGAAAGTTATGCCCAACCTTGAAATTGGAGTTTATAAAAATGTTCCAGTTTGCTAACAATAGGTTCTTATATTGAAAAAATATTCATCACAGCAGTTTCCTGAACATGGGAGTCATAAATGTATAAGGATACAAAGAAATCTCTCATTTAATAGTCATACAGATAATTAATTTCTTACTTTAGTGGCCTGTCTCCAAACATAACTCCATTAAAGGCAAGAGCTCGAGGTACAGAATTTTGGTCTGCAAATTCCACAAAAGCAAATCGTGTTGGTTGCGTCTCATCACCCGCCATTCGCACAAATTTGACTTCTCCAACTTGCTTAAAGAATTCAAGCAGCTGATCTGCTGTTGTAGTCTAGAAAAAGTCGAAAACCTCAGCTGAAGTAAAATATATAATTAAAAACACTGATCCAATATATCACATAATCTAAGAGCTACAAATTTTGGAAATTTATCTCACCAATATTATAGAGGCAACATGAGGCAATCTTACACTTTAACAAAGACAGGTATTTTTTCTTCCATTAATCTAAAGACTGTATTACAATTTAAAATAGTGCAACCACAAGCACTGATCCTACATCTAGGTTAAAAAAGCATTTGTACAGGACTTCGAACTTTTCAGGCAACTCAGTTGAAATAAATGATGAGGAATTTCCTTATATACCTGTGTCCAAACTACTGCCTGTGAATTTCGATCAATTAAAAAAAAAATAATATCTAAACAATATTACAAAAAAGTTGTATTGTATTGTAAAAACAGTATTACAAAAATATCTTAAAAATATTACAAAAGCTAACAATATTAGCTTTTATCTTTTTTTCTACTAGCTTCCAGCTTATTTTATCACAATCAACAGCACTTCCACACTCTGGTAGCTACTTTGGCAGTCAAAAAACAACAAAACAAAATACTTACATTGCCATCAGTCAACACCAAATCATTTTTTCAATTCATTCAATCAATTGCTGAAAAAAACTAATTGCTGACAGAACTAACTTTCCTGTTATATAGGAACTCAAAGGTGCTAATTTTGCAACTTCCACAAGAACACATCATTCCATCTTGCTGTACTTAAGCAACTGCACAATGTTGTGGGGGAGAGCTACCATGGTCTCACGACTTCTGAGGCATTGCCCAGCTAACACAACCCAGCTGGACATTTTGCACAACAGACACAATCATGTTTCTTGAATTCAGCAGCAGTGTCATTTCTCTGGTATCCTGCCAGAATGAATTCCACAATCTGGTCTGATCTGGTTGGCACAGAAGCATTCAAAATTTTAAATATCACTAGTAAATAAAAAGATTATTTTTGTGGTTTTTTTAAAATTCCTGTTGCCACCAACTAAGAAAAATTCTTTACCATACAAGATTAGAATTCATAAATGACAATTTTACACCTTCCATTAGTATTTCCATTAGACACAAAAAAAACCTACCTGGGAATTCAAGTTTCCAACATAGACTGTTCTCCTGATTTCATCAATTTTGGATGGATCCACATTGCCCATTATTGGTGGCTGTGGTATTTCTCCCAGTGCCGTAATGTTAGGGTCCAATGCTGCTGCTGGTATAGCGCCCAAAGTGCCAAGTGAAACACCGAGCTGGAAAACACAAAAACAGAATATGCTTTCCAACCAACACTGGTGGGATACTTTACTTGTTAATATTTGCCTGCCTCGTGCCTTTCCGTAAAAATAAATCTAATGAATACAGGCAATACTTTAAGGTCCCAATGACCATGTGTTTTATACAATAAAAATCTACCCATAAGTAACCTTCTATAGTTCAGATTTTCAGTGGGCTATAAGTTAATATCTTCTAAAGCGGTATGGCCAGGGATGCAGTATATCAATCAGAAAACATATCGGCTTGAATTTGTAACGCTTACAGTCAATCAAATTGAGTAAGATGCCTTCAGACACTACTAATTTTTTGTTTTGTTTTGGTTTTTTTTGCCACAACAAGTATTAGGAGTAGATGAGGAACTGCTGATCCCTTGTCTGGCAAGGGAAGAAAGGAATTTGCAGTGCCCAGCATCAATTTTTTCTGTAATAGTTATCAGTCCATCAAAGGGACAGATAAGGTACCTTTTGGACAAACACATCACATAAGGCAAAATTAATTACAGCTGAAATGTGAAGGATATTAAGTGTAAGTTCTATCCCTACAAACACAGGCACTTCCTAGAGAATGAAAACAATACACCTCTTATTTTTGCAACCGGGAATTGAAATGTCTCCTGTGGAATGTTACCAAAAAAAGTCACTGAAAAATCACTACCAAATTGGTCTGCTGAGTTCCTGGTTTAAGGTGTTTTTTTCCACCCAAAAAGCAACTGCCTTTCCAGCAAACAAATGTTCTAACAAGTGTGAGAAAATCTCAACAAGCCACCGGTACTTTTATTTTCTTTTTTTATGTAACAAAAGGGAAAATTACTCTATTTTCCCTGAATAGGTCACAGCAGCCTGCTGATGTCAAGAAAGGCTTACAAAGGCAAAAGGGAACCGAGCAGAAGTAGCAGCAGCTAGCTCCTATGCTTCTTGTAGTGAAAACATTGCTAGGCTAGGGGTCAAAAACCCTGTCGTAAAGATAATAGTAAAAGAAACTTAATGCAGCATTTTATTATTCCGAAGAACTGTGTCAATGTGACTATTATGTTGCAACAAATGCTTAGGAGCTGGATAGAACTGCCACTGGGTGAAATTGATGGGTCTACAAAAGAACAATTAAAATGGACGCAACCAAAAATCAGTACTTACCGACTGTTTTGCAAAAAAATAATCCAGAAAAAAAAACCAGGAAAGGTAATGCACACACATCTTGTGATCTACCCTTAGAAGAGGCACTGCAGCTAAACCCTCACTGATCAGGCATACAAGAGGAACAACATCCATAGATTAGATAGTTCACGTTCTCTGAACACAGAAAAGGCTATTCAGTATAGTGGAAACCAGAAATCAAACAGCAACAGAATTTTACTTACTGTAGTCAAAGGGGTTGGTGTAGGTATAGGAAGCAACCCTGCACCAGGCATCAGGCTTGTCATTGTAGGAGCAGGCGCCAACAGAGAAAGGGCTTTGGCTTCATCTGGGATTTTACCTGAAGAAGCAAATGAAAGCATTACACAGAGTTGGAACGCTACACAGGTGTTACTCTTTCTATGATTTTACAATTACCCTTGCATTTAAAAATGTAATAAATAACAACGAATCTATCTACCAGATCCTTACAAAGAAACAAATAAGAACTTAAGTTTTTCCTTTTACCCTGTTCTACTAGGAAAAACAAAAGTGAGCAAAACTTCAAAGACTAGCAATCTCATTAATGGATTATTATTTTAAAAACTGAATAATGTATACAATTATTTAACACTTTGAGCTATGGGTCACCTGTACTGGAAACTTAATGTTCATGAACCAAACGATATCAAGCATGGACGCTTTCCCAGGGCGGTGTTTTCGCGGTGATCGAAAGTTGTTTTACACATGACAACCGTTCGTGTTGGCTGCATCACTAATAGCACACAGAACATCAGATACAGAAAAGAAGAACATTTTTTAAAGTTTAATCCCCAGAAATGGCAAATAACCAAATCAGTAAAAGAAAAGAAAAAAAAAAAAAGAAAAAACCCAACGTATGTGCTAACTGAAATTTGTGGTTTTTTCTTAATCCTCTGGTGCTACCTACTTTGGATGTAAAAATAAATGAAAATCAAATAAAAACTACTGAACTACAGTGACTCCACACAATACATACTACAAGTGAAGCTGGAGGTGGAGGAGGGGAGAGGAGAAAATATTTAGATTTGTATTGTCTCACATTCTAGGTCACCTCAGTTTATCTGAAACTTTGATAAATTAGCTTGAAATTTACTGAGATTGAAGAAAATCATAACTGATCCACTAAGTAAGCCATATTTTCCCAAAATATGTATTTCCTACTATTTCAATCAGATTCTATTCCCCTGCCATGCTAAAAGTTTAAGTAATATCCAATCTGAATTAAACACAGGTTTCACTCAACATTAGTCATAATTAGACTGCTAAATGAACCCCAAAAGATCTTCAAAAATCAAAAGATTTAATAGTTAAATCATTATGATTACAATTAAATGTACACATTAAATTTGAAATTCAAAGGGATTTAAACATGTACAAACATTAAACACTAAACTGAAAAATGAAAGAAAGAAATTCTAATTATACCAAGTATTGATACCTATCAAAAATTACTGGCTTAGCTGTATTTATGCTATCCAACTAAGCCCTTTAGTACTACCTCATGCACTTTATTAAAGTAAATGCTTTTATTTAAACATAGTTTTAAAAGTCAATCCACTGCGTCAGTGGATTTTACTGCTTTGGTTAAAACTGTGTATGCTTTAACTATACACCCCCTAACTTAGGGATTTTTAAATGAATATATTAATATTCTTATCAAAAAGCAAAATATGAGGTAAGTCTCAAACTACTGTGCAGTTTTAGCTATATGAGTTCCAACAGACCCCACAGGAAACATACTACTTTAAAAAAAATGAAAAGAAGGAAAAAAAAAAAGTGTTGCAAACCTGTTCTACAGATCTGCAAAGGCTGTGTTACAGTTGGGTATGACCAAAGGACAAAACAAATCTAAATGAAACTTAATTTATATGTAGCATGGGTGGAATAGAAAAGATAAAATAACAGTACCCATTTTTTCCTCATGCTTCCTATTTACACTTATTTTATTTATGTTAAATTTTGAGGCACCTTGCTCCTTAACATGTAACAAACCACTTCACTTTTCTATCTAAAGGAGAAAAATAGGAAAATTATTAGCACTTAGGAATTAACTGTGCAATAATGACTTCCAGGGCTTTTTAAAAAACATGCATGAATCTGAGACATCATCACAATGTTCAGCACTTTTTACAGATCCCACTTTGAAGTCAGACATGCAATGAGAGTTGTACCCAATTTGCCTGACTGCTCATGAGTATCAGGTATTTTGCTGCACATCCTGCCTAATATGTAGCTAACTAACAGGCTTTCGAATATATAGCTCCAGCAGCTGTGCATGCAAATTAGGCATAGAATTATGTACTGGTTCTTCTGAAAATTGAAATACTTAAGTGTTTCAAATGACAAATGAACCAGACCTTATCCTGAACAGCTAGCATCTTGCAATTAACTGGATAGTCATGCAGCTTTCTACAGGGTCAACAGACATTGCTCTAGTAAATCCAATAGCAGAAATGGTTCCTAAAGTGGTTTGTCTGCATTCTAATTCAGATCCTTGGTCAGTAACGTACATAAGTATATGCCTAATTTAAGTATGCGCTTACATACAGCCAATTCAATATACACTTAACCAAATAAATGACAGAGTTGCTTAGGCATTTAGCCCTTTTAAATAGGAACTGAGTTAAGCACATAGCTAAACAGACAATGAGTCAAGTTCAGAAAGGTATTTAAATACAAGCCTAAACTTTAAGTGTATTGGTCATCTTGCTGAAATAATCGGAATTACTCGTTTGCTCAAATGCTTCTCAGGGAATCCACCGAACACTTTCGGTTAAGTGCACTGTTTAGCAGTTCACAGAATGAATAACATGCATATCTCAACTGTATTATTAGCAGCATTATTTCCAGAATACCTTGGTCCTTCAACAATGTAATATTTTATTTTAAATACAAAATCTTGTCGCTCAGTTCCATGCCACAAAGATTAATTTATTTTATTCAAGAATGAGAAAGAGTCTATCTCTGCAGACAGAACCCTGAAAATTTGCCTGCCTTTGAGATAGTGTCTTTTCAAAAGGTCCTTCTCCAGTTTTCAAGACCAGGTCAAATTTTTCAGTAATTCTACAGAACACAAACTGT